AAAAAAAAAAAAAAAAAAAAAAAAAAACAAAATGCAACAGGAAACTACATATTTCCCCCACACAACATCAAAATCTGAAATTAAAACACAGTCCATTATGTTATAATCTGAAGTAATCTACTTGTTCTCCTCAATATTTGACAATATATTGGGCAAACATCTATTTAACAAACACGAGTATAAGAAACTTGTAAAACTGGGAGAGGAAAATAAAGTATGAGTTAGGCAGATACAGTTGCAATCAAATCCACATGAGGATCATCAATTGGCTTAAGCATGATTCTTGTGCTGAAATGCCTAGCTTCTTCAAAGTAATCCTCAAAAAGGCATCTCAAAGCAAGCTTTCCAAACAACAAGTTATATGATGACTCCAACATCCTGCATCATACCACAGGAGTGTCAATTAAATTCAAGTCTTCAGCAGTTTCCACTATTAGAAAAGACTTGTGACAGAGTTAGATAAGCAAACAACTCGAGAATCAAAAAAATCCGATGTACAATATGGGGCGAAAAATCAACCATAACACCAAAGATCCCATTATCTTGACACATTTTTACTAATATGCCACCAATACCATTTTGATCAGCTTTCATTTGATAAACAAGGTTGCTACTGCAAAGGGATGAATTTGAAATGTGTGAAGGGATTTATGCTCATTTGAGATCTGACAAGTTTTACACAGATAGTCAGCTTCCTTAACGCAACCCTCCTCCTTTACCCAGGCTGCTTAGCATTAGCTGTGTGACAAAATAGGCATTAAACATGGCTCATGACACAGGCAAAGTTTAGGATCACCAAATGTTTCGATGTTGGACGGAATGGGGTTCAAACAATCCATGACAAGCTCAGTGTTACGAACTAATCTGAGTAAAAACAAAGTTAAGGACTCCATGCACCACCATGCCACCCACAAGGATTGATAGGCGTTAAGAGCTGATTAAATTGGCGTGGTCATAGGAAAATACATCAGTTAACCAAAAACACAAAGCATAAACCAAACCAAACCAAACTAAGTCTTATTTCCCAATCATTTTGGGTTGAATATATGAGTTTGTCTTTCACCATTCATTTCGGGTTGAATATATGAGTTTGTCTTTCACCATTCATTTCGATCATACGCTATATGCTGATTTAAGTTAAATTATTTTTATATCTTTTCTTATTATTTAGTTCAATATTAATTTAAGTCTACCCCAACTTCTAGTATCATTAAAAGAAATTCTATAACCTTTTCGAACCAGTGTCTCAATCGGTCTACGTTGACCTTGACCAAATCATCTGAATTTATTTTGTATTAACTTATCTTCAATTGAAGTAACTCCCGCCATTTCTCCAATAAAGTCATTTCATATTCTATCCTTTATAGTTTTTCGCACATCCATCTTAATATTCTAATTTTTTTTACTACTCTCATTTTGCCACTATATTCCTAATTGCCCATCATTCCGTCCATATAAAATTTCTGTCCTCATAGCTGTTCGGAAAAACAAAAGGCATAAACCACATAAAAAATAAACTTAGAAGCAACGAGTCGAAGAACAAAAATATACGCAGAGATTTTAGTGTAAAAAACTAAAATTAACTGATAATGAGCTAAATCAGTAATTCTTGAAGGCCATGTAGGATCACATATGACAATGCGACTGACAGAAACATGAACTGTTAATTAAAACTCCTACGACAACATATATCTGCGTATACGCAATGGAAAAACAGGGAAAAAAATAAGTGAACCTGGTACGGGCAGCGAGAGGAGGGAAATCGAAAATCGGTGGAACCAACACCATTGGCGGTGGAGGTTCTTTCTTGGTCGACCACCAATTCCACATCTCTCCGGCTAGGGTCTGTTCTTGATTTCCAGTCTAGGTTTTCTGTAAAATTGTTTTCGTGATCGATCTCTGAAAATTAGGCAAGTTGAAAGAGAGAGAGCGTGAGGATGATGTTATTTGGAAACCGAAAGTTCTGAACCTCCCCCGCGCGACTCTCTTCGCCTCGACGACTGTTTCCAACTTCCAAATTTACAAACCAGCAACGTGCATAGCCTATGTAATGGGCCTAATGGCCCTCTACCTCACGGGCCTGTTTGTTTACGGGGTTTGGGTGGGCTTGAAAAGGATTTTAGAAAAGCGAAAATTGGACCACTTAATTTTATATTTGGTTAGAATTTTTAAATTCGTAATTTATAACTTGGCCCGCTTCCGGCCTGTAATATAAATAGTGCATTAAAAGTCAAGTACGAGATTTGATGAAACTCATGGCGAGGGCTCCACTCGGTTTCAAAAGTAAAATATTGGATTCGAAGACAAAAAGATTATTTTTTCAAAAATTTATTTCTCTATTCACATGATAATGGATATTTTAGTAAAATAAATAATATAATGAGTAATACTAATTGTTATTAAAAATTTAATTTAATTTGCTAATAAAATAATGTGATTTCATAAGAATAATTAGATTAATATCAAATTTTAATATTTGATGGGGTCTATAGTGAATCTAAAGATCACAATGAATTAGGTCAATAAATTATGTCAGTAAATCAGGTTTCAATAACATTACTCTAATATAATTTGACATGAATCCATAGAGCCCACCCCACATATATTTATGTCACTTACTAAACATAAGATTATATTAAATTTATGATTGAATCCCATATAAAAATCCTTGGAGTTGGGTTTGAAGAGTTTCCCAAAATCAAGCTAGTCCCTCCTATGTGGATTATCCAAACATGTCCCACATGTTTTCGTTTATTCTAACGATTAAACTTAATGGATATATTAATAATTAAGAGGTAAATTAAAATAATTAAATATTTTAAAATAAGAATATATAATTATGATATTTTTCTTTTAAGACTCAAAAATAACATTAAATATTGGCGCCACCATAAATATGCTTAAGGGAATCAAGGGGATAACAATATATTGATTGATTTTGTAATCGAGTCAAGTCACTCTTTTGATGGAGTACTTTGTTTTTTTTTTTGGGTACATTGGAGTACATTTCTAACCAATGCCGTTCTTGTCCATGTAGTATGAGGGTAGATATGCTCTAATATAAAAAAAACCTTAATTTCATTAAAGGCTTAAATTTTGGTCAAACACAACTAGCTATGATTCAACCACATCATTGTGCATCATTTATATATATGAATTTTAGTGCACGAACTAAATCTTACACAATAGTTTGGGATAGAGATGTTAGAGGGATAAACGAGACTGAGATTCTTGCAAACAAAGAGTAGGGTTTGAAGGGAGTCAGAGGCGTGACCGACTATTCTTTTTGATGTTAAAGTTGGTCGGTGTTTTTAAGAGAATATAATATGCATTGTGCTAGTTTAGTCGCACTGCATATTTGTGACACAATCATTTGAACTATTTTATACCTTCAGATGAAATTTTTGGGGGTCCCAACAAATCGATAGGTAGTACCCCTCTAAAGACGAATAATCAATGGCAATTGCCTTTCTCAAGTTGTGCAAATATTAGACATTGGGAGGTTGGCATATGTGTCGAGTGTAGCAAGAAATGTTAGATTCTCCCTTGGGTGTAAGGACCGGTTACATGGTTCACTCACTTATCCTGTGATGAAATTCCAAAAAAGTGTGCAAGTGTACTCAGAAATTGAGGTGTAATGTATATTTAGAGTTGCACCAAGCACTCACGAGGCTTGCACTTATCATTAAATACAATCGCTCCTCAAGTGATCCACATTAATAAGGGTCATTTTTTAATCTAAATTTTTTGAAATACGATGCATGACCCCATGTGATGTACCTATATAAATAATCATTTCTTATTGCGTATCGCATCGTAGGGTCCCACATGTCTATTTAGCATTGACCGCTCGACTCTCGTGGCCATTTGCCTTCCCACAGATCTACTGGCCTCAAAGGGATGTCCATACCCTTTGGGCCCCTACTCGGGACCTTATACTTCCTTAGCGCAGAACTGTTCATGTTCGCATGTCATGTCTTAAAAAGAATGTCGTTTTGTGTCATGTCACTTAGTTATGATATAAGATTATATAATCCAATTCTATGGTACAAATCTTATTGTACAATTATGCTATGTCAAATTTAAATGAATAAATATTTAATATAATAGTTATACTACATTAGTAATATCACATGACATTGTTGTCTAATAAAAAAATTGATAATATGAACCCCCATTTTTTACACGAGTTATTTATTACCTTATATAGATGGATAATTATTGAATTTAGTAAGGTTCACTTGCCCACTTAGTCACTTGTTATTGAATTTTAGACATTTATGTATGCATAGGGACATTGTGCAGCCCAAAATCTTTCACGAGGATTCCTTGAGTGATCCCTTTCGTTTTGCGTACATGGTAGGGGCCACTCACTACTTTTGACAAAATGTAAGAGTTCGACTGGACTTTCTCTTCCTTGTTGAAACGTTACGAACAAAGGGTAAGCAAATCTGACTTCGTAGTCTTACTCTTGGAGAAGAAAGTTTCAGATACATTTCAAAATTGTGAGTCATAAATCCTGAATTCTGGATGATTTTTGGGTCAAAATTCTCTCTAATATATTTTCTTTGAATTTTCGTTGTTCAACTCATTTATTTTATAGTCAAGACTGTGTCGTGTATTTAGTCAAATTCAGATGGTGTTTTTTGAATTCATATTAATCATTTACTTGACGTATCTAACGATTAGGGATACTAATTGAGCCGAATTTTACAAACTTGAACTCGAGTTTGTCAAGCTAAAAATTTGTTCGAAGCGAACTTAAAAATTTATTCAAACTCAACTTATTTATAACCTAAACTCGAGTCCAAGTTGAGTTTTTTGAGCTCGAATTTAGCCGTAAATAAGTTTAAAATTTTATTCAAACTCAACTCATTTAAAACACGAATCAAATTTAAATCGAACTCAAATAATTGTCTCAATTAAAGTACCTGTACGGATTAGCTATCCGTATCAAATAAGGTCAAAGTTCAAGTTGTTAATTCCGTATTTGTCCTTTGTTGGGTTGGAAAAGACAGAAGGGTGGGGTTGGGCGTGGGTGCGGTGAAAGCCGCCTCTGTTAGCAGGGCGTAAGTTGGGCGGTCTAACCCAATTTTAACTTGAAAAAATTAAAGTTTGACTTAAAATTTTTAATATTTAGATTAAAATTGTCAAAAACTTTAACTCAAATTTAATTTGACGCGGGTCTAGAGTTGAACTATTGGGTTCACAGGTTGAACCCAAATATTAAAATCGGACTCAATCTAATTTAATAATCGGGTTCAATCCGAATTTATATTATATAAATACAATTTTATTCTAGGGTTAATTTTCACTCAAGTGTGTGCCTCCCTCAGACCCTCACTCACTCTCAAGAATTCTGGTTGTGCAAAAATTTGGTTTAAGCAGTGAACTCTCTGTTTGTGCAAAGATTTTAGTTGTGTTTATTTGTGTTATGTATAATTGTAATTGCGTTATCTCAAACATTGAGTTTTTAATATTATAATTTTTATGCTAAAAATTTGATTGAAGTAACTCGAAATCAGTTTACAAAGTAACTCTAATTCAACTCGAGTTCGCCCGAATTAAATTTGGATAGTGCTCTGATTGAGTTTCTCAACTCAAGGTAGAGTTAGAATTATAATTAAAATTAAAAATTATATACTTAAAATTAGATTAAAGATAACTGTTCAATCCGTCCAACCCATCCGATCTGTTGGCTAATACACCTCCAATACAATTTGCGTTCATCAAAAGTGTGCCTTTGCAGTGGACGGTGGCTGGTGGCTGGTGACTGGTGGCTGGTGGCTAGTGGCTAGTGGCCAGTGGCTGCCATCACCTGAACAGAATTCTGTCCTGTTGTTTCCCAATAAGAACGGTCCATTGCATAGGATAGGATGGCATGGCACGCCTGCCTTTCACATTATATATAAAATAATTTCCACATGACTATAAATATTTTAATACTTGTCTCACTATCTGTCTTTATCAATATTTTATGTCAATGGTTGTTGAAGCAATCATTATTATTAATAATTATTAAAATCTCGAAAAGGGTCTCATAAATCTAAAGGTCTACATAAAACAATAAAAAAAAATAATCACTTAATTTCTTAAATGATCACAAAATTGAAAAGAAATTTTCCAAAGTTAAAACCCCTTTGATTTCGAATCTAGTACTATTGTATTGTTTTTAGTAATATATTTATTGTCATTAATTGAAAGAATACCCCTTATATGTAATGGGGTCGTTTGTTTGTTTGTATAATAGAGTGTACTAAAGAGTCATATTTGATTAAAATATTTTAATACAAGTTTATACTGCATTTGGATATAAAATTTACATATAAGATTAATTAGATAAGTATCACACGCAGATAATTATAATACAATCTATTCATACTATTAAACTATTTTAATATTATTAAGAGAGGTAGTATTATAATACAACTTATGTGTATTTTATCGTTATTTTACAATTTTATCATCAATTTAAAAAAAAAATTATGTGATCATTATTTCTTATTTTTTTTAATAAAAATTACATAGACAACGACATTAATAATAAACAAATGCATTTTTACACAATTAAAACATGTTTGTTTAATTCTAATATTCTTTGAAAATATTCATAGTAAGTAATATTTACATAATTTTTGATTTTATTGATATATAGTCCTAGGAAATATCAGATCACTATGAGGGATCAAATTGGAGATAATTGAGCGCATTTTAGTCCATTCATTTAATACCATTGAATAAATTACCTAACCAAATATTATATTGAATTTGATATTTATTATCCAACTCTTAATATTATACTTAACAAACACTTAACTAAAACTGATATTATTTTTATCCCTCATTTAAACTTAGATTTTATCCATCTATCTAGGATTATATTCTTTAGTACAGTCTCTCTTTTTGTGATACGACATCCAAATGACCCTAGCGGGTTTTAACTAAATTTAAGATAAATTATTTATTGACAAAAAATTGAAAAA